TTGTATGCCACAGTTGAGTCACTTGAAATCCTTAGCACCTAGGATGAGATCTGTGGTCTCCCAAAAGGGAAGTCTGGTGGGGGGAAGGTATGAGCTGAGATGTATGCCAGGCCTGAGGCCAGGCACCACCAGCTACAGGCTCTGTGACCTTGGACAACTTCTTAACCTCCATGGGCTCTGGTAGTCTTTTCTGTTTTTCTGAGGCTGCTCCCTGCCCCACTGTGGAAATTAAATTTAACACAGGCTTGTAACAGAACAAGTGCTTATGATGCTGTGATTATTATACTGTTTTGTTTTATTCTTTGCTTTTTCAAGATAGGATCTCACTCTGTATAGTACAGGATGACCTTGAACTCTGGGTAACCTTCCTGCTTCATCCATCCATTAAAACACTTTTTAAAAATTACATTTACCAATTCATTCAATATGCACATATATCTGATAACCATGTGACGGTGAGAAGACAATCTGAGGGAGTTGGCTTTCTCCTTCTACCATGTGGGTTCTGGGGATCAAACTCAGGTTGTTAGGCTTGGTGGCAAGTGTCTTTATCCCCTGAGTCATCTTAGCTAGCCCTCCCATTTTTGTTGTTGTTGTTTACTGTGTTTTTAGAGAGTCTCACTCTACAGCCCTGGCTGGCCTGAAACTCACTATGTTGTCTAGGCAGGCCTCAAACTTACAACAATCCCCTGCCTCAGCCTCCGAGTGCTGGAGTACAAGCGTGAACCACTATGTTTAACTTGATTATTAAATCTTCAGGGATGGGAGACTTCCTTTTGTTTCTCAACTGAGTAATTTTGAAGGTATGATTTCGTTAACATTCCTAAAGCCATAAAGCTGTTCTGAAGGAGGACAATCTAACCCCTTCCATTTATGGACAAGCATGCCAAGTCCCAGAGACACCAGAGGCCTCATGATTCAGCCCAACACAAGAAACAAGGCTGTGCCTGCCCCCACCCCCCAGCCTTTTTCTCTACCACCAACCAGTCTGTCATTAGGAAACAGGACCCCTTAAAACATGTCCAAGTGTCACTGAAGTACAGAAGTCTAAACTTTTGACAACATATTTCAGTTAAGCAATTCTTCTATTTTGCCCTCCTGTGCCCTAAGTTAATAAAGCAAATCTCCCTAAGAGAACATTTATTCCCATAGTACAAGGCTTGCAACCTACACAGAATGAATCACAGACCTTTCACAGAACCGATAAAAAATAAATAAATGAAAAGTCAGGTGTGTTGTCAAAATTCCCTGCTGAGTCCAAACAGAGTGATTAGTGGGAGATTGAGTAAGCAATGGGAACCCTTTTCTCCTGCTTGCCTGTGAGCTCCTATTATTAAAAAATAGATTATTTTTTATTATTTTGTTGCTCAGTGCCATGTGAACCAAAAGGAAAAAAATTTAAAAAGAGTTTTATGTCCTAAAAAGAAGAATCCTCATTTTGAGGTGGTGACTTCATCTCTGATTCACTGTGTGTAATAGCAAGATGACTTTGGTTATTTCTTGTGCTAAAACCTCTTGTTTAAGGCTATCTTCAAAATATTCCACGTGGAGATAAAGATCACTTCCCAGATCAGGAGAAACAGGAGGTAAGGAGAGAAAAAGGTAAGTAAAAAGAAAAAAAAAAAAAAAAAGGACAAGGCAGTAGCTCAGATATCAGATTTTCAAGGAGCCTTGGACCGTTCCAGTAGCTTTGGGCCATAGAGTTTATTTTATCTTCCCAACACTACAGCAAAGAGAAGCTATTATTTCCTTCAGTGGCTGTAGAGCTCAAGACCCTCCAGGTGAACTAACTTATCCAAAGTATCAAGGCTATAAATTGTTAGGGTAGGCCCTGTTCAGGATAGATAAGAACTATGATGGATCGAACCAGAGAACTGTCTGGATGTGTCATTCAAGCCAAGGAAAGCTTCCCAAGTCTCAGGTGGGTGGGTATGTGTGTATGTGTGTAGATGTCTGTGTTTAGCCAGGATGTGGAAGAGGAATCACTGCCTGTTCTAGGAAACTAAAATCATATTTTGTTGGCTGGGCATGGTCACACATATCTGTACATGGTCACACATATCTGTAATCCCAACAGTAGAGAGAATGCAGCAGAAAGATCATCAGTTGGAGATTGTTGTGGAATGGGAAGAGTGTCATGAGCCCCCACCCCTAATTGAGGAGCTATGGAAAGCTGATGGCTTCTGGGGGAGGGAGAGTCAGTTTTCTTTAAGGCTGTGGCTACTGGTAGGTTGACCATGATTCAGTGAATGGCCCCACATCCAGAAGTATGGAAAGCACAAATTGGAACTGGAATTGATACGTTATTAAAGTAAATATAAAAGAGGACATAAATTTTGGGGGTGGATCTGGGAAGAGTTAAGGGGAGAAGTTAGGGGCGAATATGGTCAAAATATCCTGTATTAAATTCTCATAGAAAATAAAAATACTTTTAAAAACTCAACCTATGGCCATGAGATTCATAAATAAGAGAGAGAGGGAGGGAGGGAGGAGAAGGGGAGAGAGAGAGAGAGAGAGAGAGAGAGAGAGAGAGAGAGAGAGATTTCTCCCTTAAGAGCAAGTAATTGTCTTAGACATTCCTGTAGTCTTTTCTTCGCCCCAATGCTTTACTGGAAAATTCCTTCTTATTTTCTTTGTGTACCTTATAAAATTTTAAGATAAAAAGGATGGAGAGAATGTTGACTCACTTTTAATGGAAATAAATAAAAATATCAGAATATCTACTATTTGATTATAGAGTCAACACTAAAAATTGATTTCCAGTGTCTTCCCATATCTATATTCTCAAGTAGTTTCTAGAAACATATTCCAAGTGATTTCTGCTAATACACCTGAATTAACCTTAAGTCACCTTTGGGTATTTAAAGATCAATAATACTACTGTTTTTCAAAGCAAACATGTATCTTGAATACAGGCTCAAGAGATTTTGTTTCCAAGAAAGGCCACAGTGAATTTGATGCTACCGAAAGACAACAAAAAGAACTAATTTAAAAGAAAAGTCAGGGTGATACATTCTAGAAAAGAATCATATCTCTACAGGTTTTCTGTTTGCTTGCTATGCAAATGTAATAAATGCTATATGTAATAATATTCAATAAATTTGTAACACAATTTCATTTTTAGTTCTAGGAAGCTCTGAATTCCATAACTAGGACGTACTTGCTTATCCAGAGTGTTTCACGGAACCACAAAGCACCATTTGGAGTTTAGTTGGCAGATGTGCTGGAAGATACTTTGTGTAATTATTTTCTGTTCTGCCTGATCATTCAGCATCTCAGGTCTAGGCTGGAAGTTGCAGCTTAGCAACCCCACCAGCCTCTCTACTGTTAGCTGCTTAACTTCATCTATTTCTAATTTTTGTTTCTTCTGCATTTTTTCTGTACATATCTCCAGGTGCCTTCAGGAAATAGGTCCATTCTGAATATATCACATAAATAGACTGCAGTGGGGAAAGGCCTCTTCGTTTGAAAATGCCATATTCACAACAGCTGAAAGGAAGGTTCATTGAGTAACATTATCTCACATTTCTACAGGAGCAGTATAAGTGCTTTTCCCCTAAGCACTTAACATAACAAAATTGCCTCACTCGTCATGGCAAAGCAGCCACCTTTGGAGAGGTACACGAAGCTGTTTTTCAGGATGGAGTAACACTTCAGATGGAAGAGGAAATAAGAAGAATTCTGCGTCGAGTGGCAATGGCAGGGGAATTTAAGCAGCCAGAATAAAATTACTTACTTGGAACTGGGTCAGAACCCTGAAACTAACTGTACAGATGCTAGAGTATTCTGAGAGAGACTACTGGTTATTTGTTAAATAAACCCATTCTGGTGCCTAGTAGAAAAGTGTGTTTTGTGGCTATCACACATCAATCTTTTTTTTTTTTGTGCATATATATTTACTACACGGACGTCTTAAGGGTACTTTAAAATTTTTCAAGCCAGAAAATGGATATTTGTTTCTCAAAATTTGTAGTACATTACAGACATTTTCTACCTTCTTTCCATATATTTCTAAGCTAACCTCTCTATCTCACTGTTCCCACATCAGTAAGCCAAATTCAATGTCTCAGAAGTCAGTGCTTTCTGAATTTTATCACAAAGGGATATATTTTGAACAAATTACCTCTTTCATACTTTCCCTAAATTAGTCCCCTCCCCCCACACTTGAAGAAGACTTAGTCTGGGCTTTCACTTTTTTGTTACCATTGAGATGAAAGGGGCATAATAATGATTTTTAAATTTGCAAATAACTATTTTTATTGGGGTATATTACTTGTGCAGGTGATGGGTTTCATCATAACATTTTCATACAGGTGTATAATGTACTTTGATTGCATTTACCCCCTCCATTAACCCTTCTGAATTTATTTGTAAGTGAAGTATTCAAAAATTAAATTTTAAAAAAGATGTGAAGGAATATTAGTGTAGAAAATTTAGAAAATTAACAAAACAAGAAGAATACTAATACTTATGACAACAGCAGAGTGATTTAAAACAAATGAGACACAGCTGGGTGTGGTGCAGGCCTTTAATCCCAGCACTCAGGAGGCAAAGGCAGGCCGATCTCTATGAGATCCAGGCCAGTTTGGTCTACAAAGTGGGGTCCGGGACAGCTGTGGCTACAGGGAGACCCTGTTTCAAAAAGACAAAAAAAAAAAAAAAAAAAAAAATCCAGCAACAACAAAAACAAATGGACAGACACTTGATACTTAATGCTCATATAACTTTGGAATGATTAAGCCATTGAAGATCAATGAAATCAGACAGATCTGAAGACCCCCAACCCATCACTTCTCTGAGTGCTGAAAATGCCTGTCTGTTCTCTTTACTCATGCACTGGATGAAACTAGATTGAGACTTTGAGACATGGGCGGCCCATACCAGCTACCAGATCCTAAACAAGCCGAAGAACATCCCTAGGGCTTCTCAGTTAGTGGGATGTGGGATCGGGGATAAGTAGGCACAGACACAGTGGGACCTCACAGAAAGAGCTCGTGAGTCAGCCGGAGCAGGAGAAGGTAGAGCAGAGACAGTGTGCTGGGGCTGGGATTCGGCCATCTGCTGGAATTTTCAGGAGTGAGCCACGTTCAAAAGAAAGAGTGTGTGGAGTAGAAGATAGGATATCACACACCACGGAAGAGCAGCGAAAAAAGACCAAGGTACCGGGAAAACAAGAGGAGCAAGGCGGAACTTGGGAGACAGGCTCAAGTTTCAAGGGAAAAGAAGCATCTCGGCAGCAAGGGACCAATAGCGTCCAGAGAGAGATCTTAGGTTCGGGGTAGATTCACGGCAGAAAGGAGGTAACACAAAAGCGGTTAACCAGAGCTACCAAAATCCTGTCTTTATATCTGTTGTGTACAGTAGCACATTCATAACAATTTTTTGCATAAAAATGCTTGAAATGTGTATTCCTTTAAGAATGCGGCTCACTGTGGAGCCTGGGCAAGGCCTGGCAAGGAGAAACCTGCTGCTACACTTAGTGAACTTTTTACTTCAGTCCAGGCTGTGACATAATTAGAAGAAGCAAAATGATAAGGCATGGTATTTTCTATTATTATTGCCAGCCCTCTAAGAAACGAACAAGAACGCCATGGAGAAGTAGGAACTCTTATGGTTGAATATGGTATGTTTTCTCCCAAAGGCTCCCATGTTAAAAGCTTACCCTTCTGCAGCAGCAATGGAAAGAGTAAACCTTATGGGCATGGGGTAGTTCCTGTACTATTCCTGATTTCTTGAGAGTGATTGGTATAAATGGAGCAAGACTGTTACCACCTGCTTCCTGGCCTGATAAGTAACCAACCCTCTTGTTTCCATTAGCGTCCTTACTAGTGCCATCCACTACCCACCATGGGGACCACTCCAGAATGGAGGCAATGCAGGTGCCTTGGCAGTCAGTGAAAGATATTTCTTCTTCTTTTTCACATGGTCTCATAATGACCATATAGTGAGGCACAGTGAAGGTCTGTTTTAATAGCCGTTGTCTGGTATATTAGAAAACATTTTATTATTATTCTCAAGACTGTGAGCTAAAGCAAGCTTTCTTTATAAGTAGTTGATGTGAGGTATTTTGCTAGAGTGGTGAAATGCTGCCTAACACAATGACAATATCATTAGAGATAATAATTCAAGTGTTAAATAGGCAAGAAATTAAATAGGAATAAAAACAAAGGTGGGGGAAGAATACCATTTACTTTCTATTCTTCAGCATTTTTTCGTGAATAATGGCAACAAAAAAATTGATCTTATGGACCACTCATGTTGGTAGCATATGCTTATACAAATCCAGTTAGAGCATCATACAGCATACAGGTTAAGCAACTTCTGACCCGTGCCATGTGCTGTCATCTTTTCTTGTGTGTTTTTTCTGTACTGTTTGGTCAGTCGCTTCCTGCTTTCGGTTTTCCTTTTCATCAGTCCTTACTCCTTTTACTTCTTGCTTTCTGTTTCTCTTCCCTTTTTTTACCTTCCTCCCTTTCCCATAGAACTACTGGGTTCTCCATTTGTCATGTGTGTCACCTTCAGTTCCTGCCCCGTAACATTTGTCGCCATATACCGGACTAAATTTAAACACCCTTCTTAAATTTTACTGAGGAAATTAAATCCTTGTGACTAAGAGCTCTGGGCTCCCCTAGCACCTTGCCTCCCCCCATGATTTCCTTTTTTCGTAAAAGGGTATATGATGTGCTTCTCAGTCTGAAAGTCATTTGTTCTTCATCAGTGCTCATAACTGAATGCCCAGCAATAAATAGATGCCGAGAGAAAAGAGAGGGCTCTGGATCCTGTGTGAGTAAGCTGCTTCAACAGACAGGGCCAAGAGCTACTTCCCTACCTTCCGTGACCTTTCCCTATCATATCTTTATTCACTTAGTCCTTGACACAGGACTGTACACAAATGGAAGAGACTCAATACTTGAATGTCTCAGTAGCAGAAATCTATGTGTTCCCAATTGTTTCATTTTTATCCCATTATCAAATAAATTGACCAAATATAATATAGTGTGTCAGCTCCTTTCCATAAAGGAGTAGAGTGAGGGGCAGCTCTGCTACTTTATTCTAGATACTGGACCAGTGCGCGTGGATGCTCCATGAGTAAGCTCTCTGCCTCTGCCAGTCTTCTTCCCATCTGACCCAGGGGACTATAGATGGAGGTGTTGGGGACAGTGGCTGGTTGCCATGGGAAACCATAGTGGTAGCTGCACAGACTCAATTTCAAATGACTGACATATATACTCTCCACCAATGACATAGTCGTAGGGTGTTGTCAAAGTAGTGTCTACGCCTCTTCATCTCCTACTGATGTCTTTTATTAATATAAAGCTTACTCTAAATTTCCTGATGCATTTTTAAAAGGTGGTCACCAGGCTGTAAATTTCAGAGATGCCTTGCAGAGTTTCTTCTCAGACAAGGTTTGATACTTTATGGAACTTGGGCTTCATACAAGAAAAGAGACTATGGAAAAGTAGGAAATCTTTTTCTTTTTCTTTCTTTTTTTTTGAGACAGGGGCTCCCTGTAGCCCCAACTGCCTGGCACTTCCTATGTAGGTGAGGCTGGCCTCGATCTCACAGAGATCCCCCTGCCTCTGGCTCCTAAGTGCTGGGACTAAAGGCATAGGTCACTACACCCAGCTAGGAATTCATTTTGGAGGAAGAGCCAGAACCTTTCACCAGTATCTCTGGAGTGGTGCCTCTGCACTCCCACAAGGTCATCTGTGTCTGAGATGTAAGTCCAAATGACTGCTGTGAGTAACCTATTTATTATTTTGACATTGCAGCAAAACCATGAGGGAAGAGCCCTTTTTTTTTTTTTTTTCTGCTTCTGTCTGGTTTGGTTAACCACGATGTTCTTGGGGGAAGAAAAGACAAATTGATTGAAAGCAGAGGCGCAAGCCTATAAGAATCTACTTTCTGATCCTCACAGGAATCTTTTTAGTTTTTATTGCTTTTCCTTTTAATCAATTGATGTTATGCCAAAGGATAAAGGTCATTGAAAGATAATTGAATGAGAAAGTCAACAGAGGGTTAATTGTGCAACAGGTGTTAAATAAATGCCTGGTATTTAGAATATTTACCTCTGCAAAGGGAAGTCACATTCCAGCCTCCGATGTCTTATATTATGTTAACTAATAGGGAGAGATTTCCATTAATATTCTAACTCTTCCCCAAGGCTTTTGAGGCTCTGGATTCTCCCTCTTAGTCATAAATGAAGCTACTTTCTGAGTCTTACTTTAGAAATCTGTAAAATGGGATGCTAGGAGATTTAGAGAGCATAAGAAAGAAATCCAATGTTTAGCTAACAATTGACACTTGAGAGTTACTTATATCTCCTTTAAAATATTTTTATTTTATGTGTATGAGTGTTTACCTGCATGTATGTATGCGTACCACATGTGTGCCTGGTGCCCTTGGAGGCCAGAAGAGGGCATTGGGTCCCCTGGAACTGGTGTTACAGATTGTTGTGAGCCACTATGTGGGTGCTGGGAACTGAATCTGGGTCTTTTGTAAGAGCAGCCAGTACTTTTAAAAAATTATTAGCATTGCTTTTTTTAAAGAAGTAACATGATTATATTGAAAGATTTTGTGTAGTTTGAAGAATTTGGAAAGGGAGTGACTGGGAAACTCATATTACAGTGACAAATTTCACATTATTGCTGAAACTTGATAGCACAGGTTTGTCAAGAAACAAAATTCAAAAATTATAGTAGACATATTTAATTTCAAATTTATATTCTAAGATATAATTACACATTTTTAGTTTGAGGATTATATCAGTTTAGTTATTAGAGTACCTTCTATTTCTTTTTTAATGTTCTGTTCCAACAGCCACATGGTTAGACAGAGAGACGGGCAATTTTAATTGCCTATATCTGACATATTATAAGGTATTTTAGTTATTCTCAATCTCTTTATAATTATTCATCTTTTGCTCTATCTTTCTTATATACACCGAATTTAATGACTTGGTGGGAACAAAGGAGAAGTAAAATGTTATTAAATCTTATTTTACGTCTTTACAAGGAACAGTTTCTTTCTAAATCCTCTTCTGCTGACCCATTAAAAAGCAGGCTTTTTTGGCTCAGAGCATCTTTCAAAGTGGTCATCTTTGTAGTAACAGTCACCTGGGCATTTTTAAAGTCCTGAAACCCAGGCTAAGCTAGAGAAGTCATGACCTTCAGGGTGGACCCTAGTATCTGTGGGGACCCACAGCCCTATGCAATAATGCCTTGACCAAGCCCAATTCACCCCTGCATCTGAGCCTCTTAGAGGCTCTTGCAAATCCAGATCTCATATACTTCTACTAGTAGTTAAATAAACCAAACACCTATGATCAAGTACCACAGGGCTAACTCTGGGCTGAGCCATTTCAGAGGATGAACTTGGTCTCTGTATCACAGAGAGTGTGGAGGCATCAGAATCCCTCCAAGACGGTCTCGGCTGACGTTAGAACCCCATTGTACATCCCTCTCTGGGGATCTTGTTTCTGCAGTTCCTTTTTTTCCCATCAGCATTTAAACATGTACCAATATCTGTCACTTAAAAATCACTTGAAAATGTGCCTCTGCTGTCTTACTTTCAGGCAAGTTATTGAAGAAGAGCTTTGACCCATGTCTTCCTCTGCAATGTATTCATTCATACCCATACAGAAACTGCTGCCACAAGAGTGTTAATGACTAATCATTTGCCAAACGGCCTCTGTTCCACTCGGCTCTAGTGACTTTTCCTTCAAATTCTTACATGCTTCCTGCTTTGGGAGCATCTGTTTGTCTTGCCACTTCCCTTGTTTACTGTTTATTAGTTAGCAGTCATCACTCTGCATATTCCATTACTAGTTCCTCCAGGATACAGGCCGGAACCCTCCAAATACACTTCGGTTAGTTTTATCCAGAAGTTCCATTTTGCTTGACTATCTTTTCTCTACCCTTTCTGACTTCTCTCACAAATCCTAAATCCTTATTGACAACTGAAAAACGGGTAGACAGAGTCTCCCAATGACTCTTGTTCCCAATACATGACCCATTCAAGAGATTTTATCTCTTCCTGTTAAAGCTGTTCTTAATGCTAAATCTGGCATCTTCTTTTCCTAGACTGACACCAACCCCAGTGGCACAAACCATTAGTAAATGTGGATTTTCTTATCCAAATTATCACTGAAGGGCTGCTC